GGATTTATACCCCGCCCTTCACTACCCGAAGGAGTCTCAGAGCAGCTTACAAACTCCTTTCCCTTCCCCTTCCCACAACAGACACCCTGTGAGGTAAAAGAAGAAGAAGAGGAGATTGGATTTATACCCTGCCCTTCACTACCCAAAGGAGTCTCGGAGCCGTTTACAAACTCCTTTCCCTTCCCCTCCCCACCACAGACACCCTGTGAGGTAAAAGAAGAAAAAGAAGAAGAGATTGGATTTATACCCCACCCTTCACTACCCAAAGGAGTCTCAGAGTGGCTTACAAACTCCTTTCCCTTCCCCTCCCCACCACAGACACCCCGTGAGGTCGGTGGGGCTGACAAAGCTCTGGCAGAAACTACTCTTTTTCAAGAACAGCTCTGACAGGACTATTGCTTGCCCAAAGTCATCCAGCAGCTGCAAGTGGAGGAGTGGGGAATCAAACCCGGCTCTCCCAGATTAGAGTCAGCGCACTTAACCACTACACCAAACATGAGCAGGGCAAATCTGGCTGCCTGGGCTTGAAGCTACCATAAGAACATAAGAACCTAAGAGAAGCCAACGCTGGATCAGGCCAGTGGCCCATCCAGTCCAACACTCTGTCACACAGTGGCCAAAAAATACCAGGGGCCCTCAGGAGGTCCATCAGCGGGGCCAGAACTCCAGAAGCCCTCCCACTGTTGCCACACACACACCCCAAGCACCAAGAAGACAGAGCATCCCTGGCCCCAGACTGAGAGTTCCTATCTATACCTTGTGGCTAATGGCCACGGATGGACCTCTGCTCCATAGGTTCATCTAATTCCCTAGTGGGTAAGGCTACAAAGCCCAGCCCCTTGGAGAAGACCCCCCCAAGGCCGCCGCAACACGATACATACTTGGTGACACCGGGAGTGGCACCGACGTTGCAGGCCCGGCTCCTCTTCAAGCTGTTGATCAAGCTGCTCTTGCCGACATTCGGGAAGCCTGCGAGATGAGGTGGGGGGAAAAGGCCTTCTGTTAGCCAAAGAGCTTGATGTCCCTTTCACAATCAATCCTATCTGAGCCCCTCAACAGCGAATGCTCTCCCCTCCAACTGTCGCGGAATTAGGGCCTGGATCGAGCCTCAGCCCTCTGTTCAATTTATGTTGCTTTTATGTCTATTAGTAAAAGATAGTTGGATCTTTGGTTCTGTTTCCCAGGAGGCTTCAGGGCTCCAGTGGTGCTGTGGTCTTCTGGGATTGATAACTCTGTACATGACTTTTGCCTTGGACGATGTTTACACATTCCAGCAGGAGGAGGAGGAGGAGACTGGATACATACTCCACCCTTCACTTGGGAGTCTCAGAGCGGCTTACGATCTCCTTTCCCTTCCCCTCCCCACATCAGACACCCTGTGAGGTAGGCAGGGCTGAGAGAGCTCTTTCCAGAACTGTCCTAGAGAGAACAGCTCTGGCAGAACCATGGCTTGCCCAAGGTCATCCAGCAGCTGCGAGTGGAAGAGTGGGGAATCAAACCCGGTTCTCCCAGATTAGGGTCCGCGCACTTCCCCACGACACCAAAATGGCTCTCTAGCAATGCTCCCTCTAAGCTGTGGAGTCTTGTGAGCAAGAATTCTCCTTTGTGAGCTACTGGCATTAAAGTTGTGAGCGAGCGATTTGGCTGCTGCATAAATTAGTTTGCTCTGGAGCCATCCCTTCCTGAGCTAAGACAAAAATGCGTGAGCCGGAGGCTAAAAAAAACTGTGAGCTATCCCACAGTGACTCAGCTTAGAAGGAACACGGCTCTCTAGTGGTGTCAGTGGTGGCGTCACTATTAGAATCAAACTGGATAGGGTGTCTGAAACGAGCTTCCTTCCCTCTCCTTGACTTTCTGTGAGCTTCCTGACCTCAGGAACAGAGAGAAGGGGGATGGATTTGGATCGGTGCATTGGTTCAGTTCTAGTTTGGCCTATGTCACATTCATGATAGTCCTATGCGATAGGTACGTCAGCAGCCATATGTCCAAGAAAGATATATACCTCTGGGTTAGTAATGGCCCTGTACAGACCCACCCCTGACCTGGTTAGGGCAGGCTAGCCCAGTCTCGTCAGATCTCAGAAGCTAAGCAGGGTCGGCCCTGGCTTGTGTTTGGATGGGAGACCTCTAGGAATATCAGGGTCGTGACATGGAGTCAGGCAATGCCAACGGCAAACCACCTCTGAATGTCTCTTGCTGCAAAAACCCTACAGGATTGCCATAAGTCAGCTATGATAAACATATGGAGCAGAGGTCCATCAGTGGCTATTAGCCACAAGGTATAGATAGGAACTCTCAATCTGGGGCCAGTGATGCTTTGTGTTTTTGGTGGTTGGGGGGGGGGTCAACAGTGGGAAGGCTTCCAGTGTCCTGGCCCCACTGCTGGACCTCCTAATGGCACCTGGCATTTGTGGCCACTGTGTGACAAGTGTTGGACTGGATGGGCCATTGGCCTGATCCAACGTTGGCTTCTCTTATGTTCTTAAAGCCACTGGTGGACCATCTGATGGCACCTGAGTTTGGGCCACTGTGTGACACAGAGTGCTAGACCGGATGGACCATTGGCCTGATCCAACATGGCTTCTCTTATGTTCTTAAAGCCACTGGTGGACCTCCTGATGGCACCTGGGGTTTGGCCACTGTGCGACACAGACTGTTGGACTGGAAGGTCCATTGGCCTGATCCAACATGGCTTCTCTTATGTTCTTAAAGGCACTGGGGAACCTCTTGATGGCTCCTGGGTTTTCACCACTGTGGGACACAGAGTGCTAGACTGGATGGGCCATTGGCCTGATCCAACATGGCTTCTCTTATGTTCTTAAAGGCACTGGGGAACCTCTTGATGGCTCCTGGGTTTTCACCACTGTGGGACACAGAGTGCTAGACTGGATGGGCCATTGGCCTGATCCAACATGGCTTCTCTTATGTTCTTATGACTTGACAGCAAAAAATATATATCCAGATAGACAGAGCTATGATGTGGCCTTATTCGGAATAGTCTGTGCAGTTTGCATCTCAAAAAGGGCATTTCAGAGCTGGAAAAAGTACAGCGGAGGGCAACCAAGATGATTAAGGGGTTGGAGCCCCTTCCCTATGAAGAAAGGCTGAAGAGTCTGGGACTTTTAGAAAAGAGATGACTAAAGGGAAACACGATAGGGGTTTATAAAATTACACACAGTGTGGAGAGAGTTGACAGAGAGAACTATTTCTTCCTCTCCCAGAATACTAGAACTCGAGAGCATCGAAGGAAGCTGACGGGCAGCAGATTCTTTTGTCAATACTTCATTTGTTACAGAGTGATTCAGTTGTGGCATTCGCTGCCAGAGGATGTAGTGAGGCCACAGGCCTAGACAGCTTTAAACAAGGGATTAGAAGACGGATTCAAGGACAAAAGGTCTGGCCTATCGGTGGCTACTAGACATGGTGACTAAAAGGAACCTCCACATTGAGACGCAGTAAACTTCCAAGTGACAGAGCCAGGAGGCAGCATCGCGGAAGGCCTCGGCCTCTCTGCCCTGTTGTCTGCCCTCCGGAGGAACTGGTTGGCCCCTGTGTGAGACGGGATGCTGGACTAGATGGACCCTCACTGGTCTGACTCAGCAGGGCTCTTCTGATGTTCTTCTCAGGGGAAGGCCTCGGCCTCTCTGCCCTGTTGTTGGCCCTCCAGAGGAACTGGTTGGCCTCTGTCTGAGACGGGATGCTGGACTAGAGGGACCCTCCCTGGTCTGACCCAGCAGGGCTCTTCTGATGTTCTTCTCAGGGGAAGGCCTCGGCCTCTCTGCCGTTGCTGGCCCTCCAGAGGAACTGGTTGGCCTCTGTCTGAGACGGGATGCTGGACTAGATGGACCCTCACTGGTCTGATCCAGCAGGGCTCTTCTTATGTTCTTAATCATACCGAGCCATGTTGTTCTACCTATCCAACATCCCCACAGGAGCCTGAGCTGAAACGGACAAACCTGCCCTGATTCTTCTCTCCGTATCCATTTGTGGGTGGCCTCTCTTCTCCAAACTGGACTTCCTTTCAGAGCTATAGTGGTCTTTGGATTTACACCTCAGGAAGCGGAGAAAATGACTGAGGCAAAGAGTCCCTTCTCTGCACCTCCCGATCCTCTTCGAAATCCTTCTGATCTGAAGACTCCCGGCCATCTTTCATAATCTCCCCCCAGTACGGGTGCCCTGCTCACCCACAACGCCGACACTGATGGCGGTCTTGACATCCTGGTTCCGGCAGTAGTTCCCCAGCACTTTCATGAGGCAGTCGGCTCCAACACAGGCCCCGCTGCTAAGCAGGTCCCCTGAGGCGTGGGTTACCGGGACACGGCTCCGTTGCTAGAGGTGAAAGAGAGAGATAAAAGAATTGTTAGGGGGCCATGGCTCAGTGGCAGAGCCTCTGCTTGGCATGCAGAAGGTCCCAGGTTCAATCCCCAGCATCTCCAGTTAAAAAAGGACCAGGTAGGCAGTGATGTGGAAGACCTCTGCCTGAGACCCTGGAAAGCCGCTGCCAGTCTGAGTAGACAATACTGACCTTGATGGACCAATAGTCTGATTCAGTATACGGCAGCTTCATGTGCGTCAAGAAATCCCTGAAGACCTGTGCTAATTCTCTAGGCCTCAATCCCTTGCTGTGGCAGAGGACTCAAACCTACCGAATCCTTTCTTCAATAGAGCTCAGAGCCAGTTTGGTGTAGTGGTTAGGAGCGTGGACTCTAACATGGGAGAACCGGGTTTGATTCCCCACTCCTCCACTTGCAGCTGCTGGTGTGACCTTGGGTCAATCACAAGTTCTCTCAGAGCTGTCCTTGAAAGAACAGTTCTCAGTCACTCGCCCCCACCTACCTCACAGGGTGTCTGTTGTGGGAAGGGGAAGGGAAAGGAGATTGTGAGCCACTCTGAGACTCCGAGTGAAGGGCGAGGCATAAATCCAATCTCTTCTTCTTCTTCCTTTCTCATCCCCGACGCCACTATTCCTCCCAAAAAGAACAACCCTAGATCTCCTAAAAACTACTACCTGGAGATCTCTCAGTCAAATCTGGCCTCTAGAGAAGCACCCCCTTCTGCTAACCTGAAGAAGTGAGCAGTGACTGACGAAAGCTCACACCCTGCCACAAATTTTGTTAGTCTTTAAGGTGCTCCTGGCAGTGTTCCCTCTAAGCTGTTAGTGTGAGCTAGCTCACAGTTTTTTAACCTCTGGCTCACACATTTTTGTCTTCGCTCAGGGAGGATGGCTCCAGAGCAAACTAATTTATGCAGTGGCCAAATCGCTCGCTCACAACTTTAATGCCAGCAGCCCACAAAGCAGAATTTCTGCTCACAAGACTCCACAGCTTAGAGGGAACATTGGCTCCTGGACTCTTTTCTACTGCTACAGACAGACAAACACGGCTACCCATCGTGATCTACCTCCATGAGGCGAAGTAAGTATGGCAGAAGTGAAATCTGAGGTAACAGAAGTTGCTGACAGGACATCTCAAGAAGAGGGCACTAAGGCGCTAGGCCTCATTTCTTCAATTTACAAATGGCCCTCAGAGAAAACGAGTTGCCGAGTCAGTTTCCGGCTCCTGCATCTCACGGAGTCTCTCACATACCAGGTTTCTGCTCTGCTGCTGAGTGGAAGCTTTAAAGGCGACGGTGGGGAATTCGTTCCTCAGGTACTTGAGCCATTTGGCAACAATCTCTTTAGACACCAGATCTGAGGCAGAGGGACAGAACAGCGGGGTGAGCGTAAGGGTTCCCAGCAACGTGAGAACAGAGAACGCCTGCACGGCCTTATCAGGGCCGGGTGAATTCTTTGTACCGAAAGGTTCGCCAGGCAAATTGTGTCCTAAGACTACTGTGTGCGCGCGCGTGTTTAAACTGTAACCAATGTTCCCTCTAAGCTGAGTTAGTGTGAGCTAGCTCACAGTTTTTTAGCCTCCAGCTCACACATTTTTGTCTTAGTTCAGAAAGGAGGGCTCCGGAGCAAACGGATTTATGTGGCAGCCAAATCCCTCGCCCACAACGTTTAACACCAGTAGCTCACAAAGTAGAACGTTTGCTCACAAGGCTCCACAGCTTAGAGGGAGCATCCCAAGGTCCGCAGGTGGGGCCAAATGCTACCCTCCCTATAGCATTGCCAGCTCCAGGTTGGGAGATTCCTGGAGATTTGGGGGTGTGGGAGTCTGAAGAGGGTGGGGTTTGGGGGGGGTGAGGGTCTTCAGCAGGGTGTAATACCAGACAGCCCACCTTCCAAAGCAGCCGTTCTCTTCAGGGGAACCGATCTCTGTTGCCTGGAAACCAGCTGTAATTGCAGGAGATCCCCAGCCACTCCCTGGAGGTTGGTAACCCTACCCCTTCCCACCTTCCAGGCAGAAGACTAGCTCTAACATTACATTAGCTCTTTCTCCCTTCCATGGTTTTGAGGTGACAAAATTCCAATAGGGAAAAGGAATCCCCATCTCACCCACAGGTACGTATCCCCGTATCACTCATAATCATAAAAGGCAGTGAAGAAGGTCTATAACGACCAATAACCACCGTGATTGTAGGAAGGACTGGATGGCTTCTAAAGATGTTGAGATAACTGCTGTATATGAAGAGATCTTGTTGGGAATTAGCTCCTAAGTTAAATGAGTTCACCTTTTTTGTGTATTGGGAATGACTGAGAGGAATCCATATAATGGCTCATGCGGCTGATAGTCCAATTACGGAATCTCGGATTTGGAGAAATTTGGATTTCACTTTGTTATAAAAATATGTTTCCCGCCCTCCATAAAAAATATGGTTAAGTGCGCGGACTCTAATCTGGGAGAACCAGGTTTGATTCCCCCACTCCTCCACTTGCACCTGCTGGATGACCTTGGGCAAGCCATCGTTCTGTCAGAGCTATTCTCTCAAGAGCAGTTCTCTCAGAGCTCTCTCGGCCCCACCTACCTCTTGGGGTGTCTGTTGTGGGGAGGGGAAGGGAAAGGAGTTTGTAAGGAGACTCCAAGTGAAGGGCGGGGTATAAATCCAATCATCTCCATCTCCTCCTCCTCCTCCTCCATCTCCACCTCCTCCTTCTTTTGCTCCAATTGCCCTGCCTTTCCACCACTGCCTCATGCCCTTAATTCTTCTCTGCTTGAGCTCTGTCACCCCAGACATTAACAAAAGTTTCAGATTAGTTGAACACAAATCTGAGTTTTGCTAGTGTGTAGTTTCCTTTGGGGGGGAGGAAGGAAAACCTGTAAATTTAATGGTACAATGTATTGGTAAGGCTTGCTGAGCATTAACACCATAAGAACACCACCAAGAAGAGCCCTGCTGGATCAGACCACTGGTCCATCTAGTCCAGCCTCCCCTCTCAAACCAGTTCCTCTGGAGAGTCAACAACAGGGCATGGAAGCTGAGACCTTCCCCTGATGTTGCCTCCTGGCTCTGGGATTCAGAGGTGTAGTGCCTCTGAACGTGGAGGCTCCCCTCAATGGCTAGTAGCCGTCCTCCATGAATCCAATCCCCTTCTAAAGCTGTCGTTTCCTGTAGCCAGCACTCCATCCTCTGGCCGCAAATCCCACATTTTAATCACTCTCTGTGTAAAGAAGTATTTCCTTCCGTCCGTCCTGAAATTACCGCCCATCACCTTCATTGGATGCCCTCGAGTTCTAGTATTTTGGGAGAGGGAGAAAAATTTCTCTGGGTCAACTCTCCCCACCCCGTGCATAATTTTATCAACCTCTAGTGTGTTTCCCTCTTAATCATCTAGAAGAAGAAGAAGAAGAAGAAGAAGAAGAAGAAGAAGAAGAAGAAGAAGAAGAAGAAGAAGAAGAAGAAGAAGAAGAAGAAGAAGAAGAAGAAGA